ATCTTAGTCAGTAGTGGATGACTCCTAGGAAATTATAGTAATTTTAAGCAACCTTTTTTTCCCTCCTTTCTTCCTATGGACAACCCACAGTTGTGTGGCTAAGACACCACAGGCAAAACATTCAGTCTGTTATTTTCTCAAGTCTTCATTTTAAAGCTTTTCAAATATTAAGCTTTCAAAGTTTTATGGAGCAGCTCATAAATGCAAAAATGCATTATAATTGACTAAAAGCCCTCCCTCATGACAGCTTATCATAGTGTTTAATCTTTAAGTGCTAACTGAGGTAAACCACGTAAATGAACAAGGATCTAAGTCATGTGCTTCCTCCTCTATTTAAGCGTTTCACTAAATATATCAAATGACTTGGCAAGTAATCTTTATTCTGTACATTTCAATGCACATGTAATTCTGTTTAGTCTGTCTAGGATGCTTCATCATTATTGAATATTTTGGTATAAAAATATCCTTTTTCTTTAAATAGCTTTGAGGTGTTGTTCATACATTTTAAAAACAATACAGTTGAGCAGATTCCCTGCGCTCCAACAGCCAATACTATCTGCAGGATTTTCAAAGGGGTGTATTCTCAGACTTATGCTGGTTTGGGGAGAACTACCTTCATTTAAATAGTACGTATGCATGTGCATGGTATGCCATGTTTTTTTCCTCTTTTACACTCACATAAACATGAATCCACGACATCAAACAATATCAACAATATTCAGATCAACTGAAATATATTGCTTTACAAGCAGAAAGCTTTCTGTAGAATGAAAGGCCAAATTCTCAGGCTACTTCAGCATTGACATTGCATACTGTGTGCTTAGGCTTGTACCTGCTTATACTTGTATCCACACCCCTAGAGCCCATTAAATAGCTAATAGTGTTTTCAAACCTGGGATGGATTTCACTTTTTTTTTTTTTTTCACTCAAGTGTAACAAGAGCAAATGGCTTGCCCAGCAGTAGGTCTCCTCCATCCTGCACATGGTCACAAGACTGCTGAAACTTCAGTGGTACTTGCCTGAGAAGTCAGCTCTTCACTCCTCCTCTGCAGTTTTACATTTACAGCCTCCCTGACAAAAAGGCTGAAGGGCTTCATAACTTTGCACTTCTGTGAATTGCATAACTTGCTCCTCTGTGAATTTTGGCTTCTTAGGTTCTTCTCAGTTCACGGTCAGCAGAGAGGGTTTGGCGTGAAATAGAAACAATCTGGCTATCAGGAAAGAGCTCCCTCCCAGCTCGCAGCTTTTCCTATCACATGCAGGACTTCTTAACACATAGATCCACTGTCAGCCACTTAAACTGTGAGTTAAACTTCCATCAAAGCTTTTACCCATTTTTAAGTGACTCATAGTTAACGCAGGACTGGACTGACACTCTCTACTCAACTCACACAATTGTGAAATGACATAAAAAGGCACAGCGGCATGAGTTAAGGAAGGAGTATCGACCTTACTTTTCACAATGTGATTCCCCAAACTGTCACAAACTTCACTTTGTCTGAGATACACAGAGTGCTGAAACAAGCCAGATCTCCTGAGTCTCATCCTCTGTGGTGTTTCATACAAAACTACGTTAAAAGACTAAAATACCTGCCAACCCTTCACTGTGATCATATAAGAGCCTCTTCTCTTAGCAACGTGCCCAGGACAAATATTTCACATACAGAAATTGCTGGAGAACTCCTTAAGCCTGTAATGTACCTTGTCTTCTGTGGGCTGCATTAACAGCACCTGTCTGAGTTAAAGGAGATAAAACTCCTAAACCTGGTGTGATTTAATGCCAAATTCCCCAAATGTGCTTAAGTCCCTGTGTTTTCTCACTTGCTTCCAGTGCCACTGAAAAAAAACTCTGCCAGATGCATGGGCCAGCAGTACAAACTTATAAAACATTCTTTAAAACACATATCTTGACAGTGAGGGTGACAAAGCACTGGAACGGGTTGCTAAGAGAGGTTGTGGAATCTCCATCTCAGAAGATATTCAAAACTTGCTTGGATGCAATCTTGTGCCATGTGCTCTAGGTGTCCCTGTGTGTGCAGGGAGGTTGGACTAGGTGATCTCTAAAGGTCCCTTCCAACCTTAATGATTCTATGATTCTATGATTATCATGGCCCATATTTTTAAAATCCACAAGGACGATTCCCCTCCACTCCTCGCTCCCTAGCATATTATCCAAATTCTGAATCGTTTTAAAGCATAACAAGGGGCACAGACCCACATTTTCCACTTTACCTATTACTTTCCTCTATTTTCCATTTGTTGCTTACCCAATTCACTGTTAAGCGTGTGATCTTTGGGGAGGACAGACTGAGAATTGCGGATGTTTCCTCCACCAACAAACCAGTTTACATTGGGGTTCCAGCGATTCATGAAGCCACAAAGGTGGTTTTCTTCAAAGTCACACTCTGCAATTGTAGACACCATCATTAAGACTTCATAATAGCTTCATGTACATATTTGCATTACAGAACCTGGAAGAAAAACTATTTCTAAGCCCTGGCCCTGCTTTAGGTGAGTTACTGCATTGAATGCCTTTGCTTCTAAACCTGGACACAACACTTGCTAACTTATAAGAAATGGAAGCTAAATTAGCCACGGTTCTTGATCACTGCTACAGATTCTCATTTACATCCTGTTCAGTCCTACCTATCTTTCATTATTTCGTTACATATGTCTACCATAATTAGACCTGAGCAAAACAAATTTTAAATCTATTGCTTTCTAGGCCTTATTAGTCGGAGCAGAACTCCCGCTGGCAAATCTTACTGCAGCTACAGGAAACTGTGGCGTTGCTCGGCTGAACAGGCGGTTTTGCAGTGAGCTGCACTGAAAGGGTGACCCAAGGCAAACCTGCTATAGGGGCACCCATGGGTTGGGGTGTGGGGCTGTCAGAGTGCGCAGAGCAAGACAGGACCAGCAGTTCGCACAACCACAGAGCTCCAAAGGCCTCCTAGCCACCTGGCTGCTGCAATTTTCGAACTTCATTAGAAGTTTTGGGAAATGTTGCAAAGAAACTGACAATAAGAGTAAGTTATCAAGACAGTTTTGTCTCTGCAGGCAGCAGGACGCCCCCGTAAAGCAGCAGGAGCAGACAGAGAGCAGAAACAGCACTGCAGCTGTATCTGCAGCAACCTGGTTTTATAAAAAAAAAAAAGTTGGTCCTGCTCAAATAATAAATAGCAGAACAATAAATATAAGCTCAAACAATAAATATAAGAATGGAATTAAATATTGTACATCAAAAATCCATCTACGTCAGAAAGCAAGGCAGGCAAATACTCATGTAAGTGAACTGAATCTTAGTTTAAAAAAATGAATGTCTATTTCATTAAAATTTTGGACTTTTTTTCGATTTTAAATGCTTTTTTCTTTTTTCTTTCCAAACCAAGACCTTTTATTCAGTTTATAAAAGGTTCCAAAACCTTTTATTCAGTTTTTAAATGGTCAGAGAGGCTTTTTGTTCTTGTTTGTTTTTTTCTTTTCTATGCAGCTGGGTAGAGAGTACTCACCAATACAATATCCCGGGGTTATTTTAATTTCAAAAATTGCTATGCTGGCAGATTTATCTTTTCCAATCTCACCTTCCAGGACAATCTGCACAATATAAACCAAACAGTACATTTCAGGGTGTCAGCATTTCCATCATCACACTGAGGCACTTCAACCACAGAAGCAGGTGAAACATATAAGAAGCCTCATCATCCCTAGCATCCATAGAGGTGCATTTATTAGAGAGCTTGGGAGGAGTAGCAGGCAGATTGCACTGAAGACCAAGCTCACCTCCTTTGCTAGGACAGAAACACACTGAAAGGTCATGGGACACAGCCTAAATCAGGGCAAATGAAGGCTGTGAGACTCCTCAGCCATGGTTACACAGGAAGCTATTACAGAAGTAACAGTGTGATAGGATTTGGTTAGAAATATTCTCCTCCGAGCTTCTTGCTCTCTCTTCTCCCAGATGAGTGCAGGGGGCAGGGCTGAGTGAGCACAGCTGCAGACCTAGGGCCTGGGAAATCCCATATCTAACACAGGACAGCAGCAGCGATGCCGGTCTGCGGAGGAGTGAGCATCGCTGCTGCTTTGATTCAGTCAGCTGTGCTTCCCAGGGAGCTGAGAAACACAGTTATTCAGAAGCACAATAGCCGTCTGATTCAAAACAACATTACTCTCTTATTTTAGGGACAGAAATGGCCAACTGATTCACACAGTGCTAGGCCAGATCAGATGTAAGATAGAGGTTTTGGAGCAAACAGCCAGCATCCCGATGGGATGGAATAAATTTTTCCTCTAGCCAAGAAGTATATAATGAAGACCACACACTCTGTGGAAGTCTTTTGAGTGAGAACTTAAAAAGAGAAGTACTGTTCGCACTCAAGTGCAATGCAAAGACTGGTTTACAGTGTCCAGCTCTGTGCCGATCTCATGTAATTCCCACATAGCATGAACCAATACAAAAACATGCACCTGTGACACTTCCCAGGCTGACAGGGGAGAAGAAAGAACTCTATGTTCTTTTAACACTTCCTGGCCATACATTCACTCTCCAGTGAACTACATCTCATGTAGCAACAGGCATCGCATATGGCAGGCCTATAGTACAAGCAGGAAAGTAAACAAAACCCAGCCTCAGATCCTGGGAAAAAATACCGTTTCCACTTTGTTTATTTTCCTTTGGCTTCACCACAGTAAGCTTTCCTACTCGAGTCAACAATAAGAGCCAAGAATAAGGCCAAGACTGACAAAGTTCAGAAGGTAATCCACATATCACAATATGTGCACAATAAATCCTTTGGCATCTTCTAAAATCATACTTACCTTGTACTTTTTGGTGCTATTTGCTAAATCTAAACTAGCTATGAGCCAGCTATCTGAAGGCTCCTTAGCTGACCATAGTAAACGATCAAAGCTCTCTCCTTCTTGCCTCAGGTACAGGTTGAGCCTGGTGGGATCAGACGAAGACTCTGAAGTTGATGCTATTTGATAGATCAGTCTGATACAGCTCCACTCTTCAGAATGCAGTTCAGGACTGGAAAGTATTGCTTTCTCACCCTCATGAGATGTATCCACAGAAATGTAATGCCCTGGGAACAAAGACAGACACACACCAGAATAAGACACTTGTATCTCTGGATAAAAGAGAATATAAAGCAGTATTTGTCTCAGGGCTAGCTCAGAGCATGAAAGGTCCACTCATTTTCTAGGCAAGCCATTTTGCCCTTTAATATCCCACTATGCACATACAAACCTCATTTCATGTATCTCACAGTACTCTTAATCATTTCAAAATTGCAGTAGTCAGTGTACACTGTATTGAGCAAAAGATATTGTATCAGTATAAAAGAGATTATTGAAATAAATAGGCAATATTTTTATTCAGGTATTGCCCTCCAAAAGTGATAGCTACGATTTTATTGACAAGATAATTCACATAGAAATATGCTGCAGAAATTATGAGTTATCTACAGACCAAAGAACTTCTTACTATTCTTTATTTCTGTTCTTAAAGAAGAAAGCTAAAAGACACTTATAAGCAATAATACTAGCACATATGAATTTACTAATTGAAAAAGATATTAACATGATACTAAATTTAAACATGCCAGTAACCTCATAGGGATTATTTCAAAACTAATCTCCAGATGGTTTATTTTAGGAGCAGGGCCTAAAACATCAGCTTTTCCATAAAAAAAAAAAAAAAAAGGAAGTGTTCACAAGCTAGGTCAAAAAATCCCAGAACATGTAGGAAAAGGAGGGAACGGTAAATCACAGGTTAAGCAGAAACTTGATCCCATGACATTGCCAGCACACTGAAACTGAGGCAGGGAGAGTATGATGGGGTACAAGACTCACAGAGTCATGGAAAACCAGAAGCAAATGAAACTGAGCAAGAGAAAGAAAAAAATCAAGGAAAAAAAAATGAAAACCAAACAAACAAACAAGCTTGGATATCCACAGCTGAAATGCTATCCACAGACTTATCTTTCCCTTTTTAGGGAATGGAATTTTTTTTGCCTCTTAGCATAGCTTTTTTTTTATAAGCCTTATCTACCATGTTTAGTTCTAGTTTCTTGGAAGAATACAGAAAATCACAGGTGGAATGCTAGTAACTTGTAAATGTAGCAGTGCAGGAAAGGAAAACAAGGAAAACAGAAAGTACTTTAAAATGTGTACCAAATGTGCCTGCCAAACATGTTATCGGCCATTAACTGCAGTGTGAGGACACAAAACATCCCCTTGCACACGGATATCAGGCACACCAGAGAGCACATAGGACTTGCTTGCTGGTGTGCTCTGATCCAAGGTGCACACGTTTTCCCAGCAGCACAGCACGGACAGTGAATTAGCACAGCTCTGCTGGATGTGGCACATACCTTATTCCACAGTTGCTCATAATTGATGCAAATGGCAATATCAGTTCCGACAAATAATCTTTTTTTTTCTCTTCTTTCTTTCTTTTTTTTTTTTTCCTCTCAAGGTAGTCTTAATTTGAATCACTCTGGTTACAAAGAAACCTACAATTCTGAATCCATGCCTGGCAATTTCAGCCCTATTTTTATCTAGAGTTCATGTTCCCTTTAGGAAACTGAACCACCTTGTAATAGTCATCTTTGTTTTTTTCAGAAATAAATTAGTGACAACACAGGAAAACACATTTACATCAAGACCCCAAACTACCAGCTGTGAGATTCAAAGGGCTGTCTGCCATGAAGACTTATAATTATAAGTAGAAGAAGGTTCTTCTACAAAAATAGTAATTTTTAAAAAAGGACAAGGTTTCTTAACTCCAGTCCAGAAGACTATGTCACGATAAACCTGTCTTTGCTTTTTCTATATGCTGTACAGTTACTAACACTTGTTCTGATTCCCCTTTGGTAAGAAAGAAAGATCATGAAGTCTTGTTTTCAACAAATTTGATTTTTTTTTCAGGATTAACATGGTGTATTGGTTAAAGCCTCCAGAAGCAGAGTGCTTGCCCCCCCAGCTTGGTGATCATCTCAGCTGTGCCCTGAAAAGTTCAGCCGTGCTTGGCTCTGCTGTGGTCAATGGGGCTATTGACGAGGCGTTACGTGCGAGCCTCCGTGCTCCACTCATATGGGTCGGGTGCTCTGCAGAGTCAAGCACAGAAAAACCCTAAACTTTCCCCAGATGAATGCAGGCATTGACTGTATGGCCTTTACACTGAACTGTGTCCCAACAGCAGCGTTGCCATGTGCCACTGCAGCAGCAAGGAAGGCCTCAAGGGCTGAGTTGCTGCGGTTCGAGAAGGGGCCGGCGCCAGGGGAGGCTCCTCCACACAGAGACCTTCCTTCCTGCAAAGGAGTTACCCGCGGGGGCTGCTCTGCAAAGCACTGCCAGTGTCCATGAATGGGAAAAGCCTAATTACCAGGAGCGCGGACGTGCGTGGTGGACACCACCGTGCCCAAGTTCATCCCGGGGCGCAGCAGCCAGGGATTGGTAACTACCTTTAACTGCTGTCAGTTAGGCATAACCTGACAGACACCCAATGCATGTCCCACCATACTCCTCTGTTACCCAAGATAGTGAGTGAAGCATTTTACCACCTTCCTACCACTACTTTTTACCCATTGCTTAACTTCATTGCTTTTTCCTCTACAGCTGGATCAGACTCTGCATAGCATGTGTTCATTTTTCTTTTCTCCTTATCCAAGCAAAATATTGAGCCATATTGAAAATGCTGATATATCTAGGGGTCTATAGGTTGCAAACCTCATCATCTTCCCCCCAAATGACTACGCATCAGCAAAGTGAGATTTACAAAATGAGACCTTTGAAATCCTTGTCCATGCACATCTTTGGTCTTGCTGCTCTAATAAGCAGTTTCTAACAGAGAATCTCTCAATTACAATTGATTATACTGTAACTTTATGAATCATTCGCCCAAATTTTGCATATCTATATTTAATCTTTTTTATTTTTACTTACCAAAGAAGTTTCAACCGATTAGTCAGTAGTGATTATATCACTGTTTTTCTGGTTTTGTTTTTTTTTGGTGGGGGCGGGGAGGGTGAAGCAGGGTTGCTTGGACAGGCAGTACTGTTTTTTCCCCAAAACAGTAAGAAAGTTACACTCACTACTTTTTCTGTAAATAACACAAATAAAACACAAGGCCAATAACTGGCTCATAAAGCAAATCAAATTCCATTAACAAAATAAATAAATAAACAAACAGTCAGGATAAGTAAAATTACTGGCTAGCTTTTCACTATGTATTTTGCCTATAAACATTTGGAGGCAAAACCACAGGCGTGTTCCACCCTTCATGGGATTTATATCCGACACAGCTGTTTGCTCAGTTCAGCAGCAGTTTTAGAACAAAAAATGTCTCTAAACAGTGAGTTCCAAGAGAAACATTATTAAGGAAATACGAAGCAGAAAAAGACTGGGAATTTACATGTCATTAGGCACTCATTTATACCCGTAAGTGTGTAAGAAATATACAGAATTACCTGCCATGTTCAGGATTCCTACATACTTCCAACATGGGAACAGAAATAATATTATCCATTTTCCTACAACAAATATTAATCTAATAATACCTTCTTTGCACCTACATATGCTATATGATACCTATAATGATATATACTATAATGATGCCTATATTTTTTGCACCTTTGCATCTACTATCTCAGCATCTGCATTTCTGGAGGGTGACTTTTGTGAGGGGGTTTTATTATTATCGTGACACTGTTAAAATTAAAACAGAAAAGGAGAGCTTTTTTTAGCACCCAATAAGCCTTCTTATGTCGTGAAGGAAGAGTTAATTAAAAAAAAATATAGGGCCAGAGAGACATTGTTTTGCAAACTGAGTTTATACTGTAGAAACTATCTTTGGGTAGAAATTAGATTGAGACACAGTTTTGGCATATGAGAACACAGAAATTCTGCAACCCACTCTTATGAGATTTTTGGTGAAATTAGTAGAAGGCTTGAGACCCTGGATAAGCAGTTTCACACCTAACAGTCCACATCTGCTTCAGACTTTTCGAAGGGAGGTCTCCAGCCTGACATCCATACCCGCCTACGACAGGACTCGGCTTCCTCAGGAGGAACAAAAGGGTTTCCAGGCAACCCTCGCAAAGACGGGTGTTATTTATTCCAAACAAAAGCATTTCATCGGCAAGCTTGGCGCGGGCATGGAACACGTGGGTAGCTCTTCCAGGCAGCCCTGCACAGACCCACAGCCCAACATGAGCATATTGTCCTTGAGCAGGTAAACCAAGTTCATCATAGTTTACACACCAAATCCAGAGGTGAGATTTATTATTTGACGATTTGCCAAGGACACCAAACCAGGTCAGGGCGCTCATGCTTCCCAATACGGAGGAACAAATTTTGGAAGACTTGTTGCTAGTGCAATCCCCATGCAGAGGTCTCTCTTTGGTCCCCACCTCCTTCACTATCCTCTTTTTTTTTTCCTGCAGAATCTTGGAAACACAGCTGCTAGCAAGCCCATCAGAAAGCACAAAAGAAATATGCCATGACTACGGCCCATGGTCACCAGTGCTACCGCAACGTGGGCTCAAGCCGTGGCTGTGCTGCAAAGTGCTGGCGGAGGCCCAGCCGCCCCTGCTTCTGGTTTGAGCACTTGCTCTGCTACTGCTGTCTCACGGGGCATGTTCCACTGGAAGGGCTTCTGGCAACCACCGTGTCCTCTCCTCGCTCCCGCCCTCCAGAGATGCTCACGTCATGCACCAATTACACCAGATTCACTGTTTTGTTCCAAACACAACCATGTGGCTTTGTTTTCCTTCAAAATGACCTCACACTTTTTTATATACTTTTGAGTTTTCCCTTCCGCTTCTTTCAAGCGCTCCATCAGTCTCAGGGAGCTGTTGATCAAATTACTGAGCTCTCCCTTCTGCATAGTTCATTGTATAATGTTGACTGACTTTTTATCTGTTGAAGTAAAAGTTTCCAGATCCCTGTCTGTTAGCACCAGTTTTACATGCAACAGCTGTTTTCAAAGGCCACCTCCACGGCTTTTATTAGCTGCTGCCTCTGAGCAGAAAGCAAGGACTGAGACACGTGTGTCTGCCCTGAATTTGCAAATTGGAAAGAT